GAAGTCAAGCAGTGAAATACACAGAAACTGGGAAGCCATTTAAAGAGGTTAAAAGCTAGAGTCAAGGAAGACAGCCACACAGATCTGATAAAAGATAATAATAATAAAAGAAATCTACAATAAACAATTGCAATTTTACAATTTTTCTACAATAAAAAAAACAGAGAAGGAGACATATGCATTGTGGAACTTTTTGCAGACTTGAACTACTTTTGGCTTTCATTGTATTTTTATGCTATGCCTTAAAAGGAGGCATTGATGTGATTTCTATAGCTAACTCATATTGGAAGACTTGGGGAAGCTGGCTGTTTTGATTTTCTGAACCCACAGAAATGTAATATTTAGTAACAGCATGTGACAATTGCCTTGGCAGCATTTCCAGAAACTGCAAACATGATCATACCCCACCCATTGTGTCGTACAACACACACAGCCCTCCGATCCCAAGCGGGGAGAAAAAGCAGCTCAGAGAGAACTGTAAGGATTGATCCTGTGCCCAGTGGAGGCAGCGAGGATTTTGCCACTGAATGACATGAAATAGAACCATTAATTGGGTTACCTGCAAGAAAGAGGATGAGAGTTGTTAAGAAGAAAGGTGGGATGAAATAAAAAACACAGCACTGATGAACCAGTAACCATAATACAATCACAGATAATTTGTGCCCTAAATGAGAAACAGAGGCAGGGACATAAATCTTCAAAGCGCTGTGCGAAACATTAGATGTGCACCTTATTAAAGATGAGGGGATTTGTGTCTCTAATTTGGCCTGAAGTGCACAGTCCTATCCTCAAATATTTCTGCAAGTACGTTTTTCAAGTTCTCAGCAAGGGAAAAAGAGGAGTACTGATTATGTGGCCTGGGGTGAAATGAGTCATTTATCAATAAATACAGCAGCAGCAGGAAAAGCAATAAGGTTAGCCAAAACAGGGCATCACCAGCAAATAAAAAGATCGAAAAAGGCAAAAAAGGTGATAGTAAGGACACAGAGTTAACCCAAGACAATATGAAAGATAAATAGGGGGAGGCACAGACTGTGAAAAAGCAAAGTGCCATCCTCAGCAGTGACACACTAACACATATTTTCAGGATGGATGGACTCAGGGATCAGATGAAACCAAAGGAGCAGCTGTATGTGTATGCTCCTGACCAAACAGACAGGCTTTGTAGAGATGTCAAATTAATATTATGTCCCAGTATCAACAGGGGTGGACAGATGACTGATTCTTAAAACAGGACTATCTTCTTCCAGGAGAAGAAACTGAAATGCTGTGGGAACTTCAACTCATACAGTTGCAGATGCTGTTTTATTCTAAAAAGTTATACAAAATCCTAAATTCTCAACAAGAAAGAAATTACATTCCAAACTTGTCATAAATTAAGCTGGAGAAGCAAATAGATATTTAGATTGCTGATTAGACATGGACACACCTAAAAAGAGAGTAGTAGTGAAGTATGAAGAAGCTCCTTTTATCCTTGAGCCATATCCTAGATTAAGACAGACATATCCTGCTTACTTCAGAGACCTGCCTTTGACCAAGCAAGGAAAATAGATCAACCCCTACCTTACTGAAGAAAGTAAGGTTCTAATGAAAAGCCAAGTTCAAATCTTCTAGTTTTTTCATGACTCACCAGTAAACCTCAACATCTAGACTACCAAAACAGACAGCCCCCAACTTGTTAACATGGCAGGGATAAGAGAAGGGGACTTTGAACAACTCCCACTTGATGTAATCAGCATCTGGAAACCACCATCACCCAAGGACTGGATTCAGTGCTGATTTGAAGAAGTGGCATGTAGGTTTCCAAGAAACATCTATTAACTTCCATGTAAAATAAAGAGGCAGGCAGACCCTTTTTTAACTGGCACAGTTGGAGTCTGGCAGCGGGTGAACAGGCTACACACTTCAAGAAAGGGGAAGGGGGAAACTAAAGGCCCCAGCAAACCACTGAGAACAAACCGTGCTTACATACTAACAGTAAGAAAAGGATCTCCAGAGCTGGATTGATTTTCACCTGTTGTACAGCTGGAAGAAAAGCAGCTCTTCGAATGGGAAAGCACCACCAGTGTGGGTGTCACTTGGTAAAAGAGAAGCTAGGAAACTAATATGTCTGACCTTTGTTAACAAGTGAGGTCAGACAGAGTTTAATAAAGGATGAGGTCATAAACCTGCTGGAGAAATGGCCTGATAAAAATAGCTTCGAATGGTTTAAGAAAGCAAATTTTCTCACAAATGTAATGAATTTTGTTTTTAAACTAGACAACTGCTTGAACATGTAAAAGTAAAGCCATGAGCACAATGCTCAGTTTCAAAAGATACATGAATTTACTGTAAAGATAAGAACTGGGAGAGAAGAAGGATTCCATCTCTGGAGCTGGTGGAATGAAATAAAGCCGTTTCCAACTGCTAAATGTACTAGACAGTTCAAAAGGAAAATTAAATGTGCGTTCAGTATGAAAGCATGAAAGGACCACATCAGAGAGCTCGTCAAATAAAATTCTCCTGTTGCTGAGGAAATTTGAGGTGGGGTCTCGTAGTTACATACAGCTAACCCCTCCTGGGCACACCGACCTCTCCGCTTCCCCAAGGATCAGCTGGAACAGCTGCCTCACTTTCTGACCGAAAAGACTGAACTTGGGAGACAGACACTAAAGTCCCCCCAGAGCTTCTCTAAGTCACTGATCTCTCAGGTGACGTTCTGAAAATGAAGGGCAATCCACACACTTACATGAAAAGCAGAAGTATAGGAATATATTTAGGACACAGTAAGGAATATCGAGTAGGAAAAACAGAAATTCATGGGGGAAAAAATGGGTTTCGTTAGGTTTAGCTGATGTCAAAACACATACTTGCATTTTCATCACCAATTCAATGTACAAGTTTGAGAGAAATGTAAGCAAATAGATTTTACAGCATAGCATATCTTACAACGCCTTTTTCAATTGTTTTCATTGTAGTGAAGAATATTCCCCAGGCTCTGATGGAGAACAGGTTCACCTCTCAGGTTACTGTAAATGAGAAAAAAAAAGAAAAAGTCACTGTTTCAAACACTCTGTAGTCCAAGAAAGAAGACAAACAGGCAAGCATCAGGAGCTCAAACAGATGCACCAAGCAGAATTACTTCCCCACAGTAATGAAGCAGGTCGCACCTCTCCCCTTCCAGAGTTAAAGACCAAAAACTCCTAACTTCCACCTCAGGAACCTGCCACTTCCATTAGAACAAAGAGACATTCTTGACATGCTCTGTATTATTCATAATGTCAGATTAGAAAGCTTCTGGTAAAAGACATGCATACTATTTGTCTGAAAGCTCCCTCGGAGACTTCAGTGATGAGTAGAGGATATCCCTGCACAGAGCACTCAGCATCGGCACATACCTGGCAGACTAAAATGGGTGGAAAAGCAAACAACACAGAAAAGGACCCCACTCAAATGTGCTTTGTCTGGTTAAGGCTCAGATGTGAATTCATGCAGTTCTGAGACAGGAGTGCAAACATCTGTTAGACACAACAGGCTTGACTGATTGACAGGAGGCAGCTTCTTTAAACTGTTCCAACAGTGCAAAACAGTTCTGAGACAGGATGCAACTCTTCAGGGAGAATTCCCCAAGGGTGGAGAAACTATCACATGACATGTCACAGTGTCAGATCAGCAACTCACTAGTCCTTGTCTGGCTATTGGTACAGGAGGGTTATAGCAACAGGCAGGACTTCAATCTGTGAACAGTATCTCAGCTAGGAATACATTACACCAGCTTTTAATCAGCTTTGTTCTTATACCAGGATGAGGCTTAGCCTTTATTTAGTTGAGTATAAAATGGCTTACAGCAACTTTTTCCTTCTATACTCACTTGTGCCAGGGAGCCTGAACTGAAGCTAGAGTAGATATTAATGCAGAACAGTGTAAGCATGATCTTTAGACAGGGTGCACCTATTATTAACAAGAATTTGTGAACATTTTGAAGCTTGAGATGTGCCCTGTAAGAACTCTCGACATCTGGATTTGTCTGAGTCCCAACATCACCAAGGTCTCAGCCACTGGGATTTTCACAAAGCAGCTGTAAAATGCTCTCTGCCTGCCCTCCAGCTACTGCGACTCTGAGGACTGGGTCTGGCAGCACAGAAGAGGCAATGTGTCCTCACAAAAATGTGCTGTAATTATGAGAAATCACTCACAAGGTAGCAACACAGGAGAAACAGAAGGAGACATGTAGGACAACAGCGAGTTTCAGGACCACATGTAGACATTCATCAGGATAAGGAGTAAGCTTCAAGGTAGTAAAGACAAAAAATCAAAGTAGTCAGTTTATAGCGGGAAGAGAGTTCAGCTCCTATAATGAACTTCAAATAACAGGTTTCAGGTTATAGTCATTAAGAATGGGTGAACAGCCTTTGATATTGGCCATTACACACATCTTGCCGTATGAAGAATTTCTCATCTCACATGTTCCTGTTTCAGGGATACATGCCAATAAGTTGTGGCACATATTTTCATAATCCATCTTGCTTTTAAGCACACCTGAAAGGCCAGTAAAGCTAAAATTAAACCTAAAGAATACAGAATCAGCCATTCTTAGTTCAAATTTTGCCTGCCAAATCTGTGTCTAAAGCTAATGTGTCCACCAACATCTGTTAAATCTCTGGCATTAAAAACGCTTCTGCAATTTTTATGACTAACATTTGAAAAATCAGTGACAGGGAACCAGACGCTTTAATTTACCCATGAATACAAGTAATGGCCAACAACATGAAGTTAATTCAAGCTTAATCTTAAGGGAGACATTTATATGAAAAAGAACAAAAAATTTAAATGTTAAATTACTTACACTTGCCAGGGAGGGGATACAGTTTAAAAATGGTTAAAAATGAGACTGAAAAATATTCTGAATACTATGAGGCATTCAAAACACATTTTTTTTTTTCAAAGAAACACAAAAAAAAACAACGAACAACTGGCTGAACAAGGAAACTAGTAAAATATATAAGATAACTTACCTTGTCAGCCATGCTGTAAAACACGAAGGTGGCTCCTAGCTTTCAACCAAGGGGGAAGGCCAGAAAGCTGCTGCACATGTAGCATGGTTTGCCCTAGCAGACAGTACTGTCAGATGTGGCACAAGTCCCCACACAGCTGCCGAAGGCTGAACTTCCAGAGGAGATTAACATCATGCCACAATAAAGGCCCCACATCTTTTCAGTGCCCACCTGCAAGAAAGTATTTTGAAAATGAAGGCAACAGTATTTGCCATTAGGATCAGAATTAAATATAAGATGAAGCTGGTGCTGCCCAGTCTATTTGCTTTAAAAATCACCAATAGTGACCCACAGCAAGAGCAGGTTTGCACACTTAGCTCCATTTAATTTCATGTTTCCTTACCTGTTCTTTTCTTCTATGACTATTACTAATTACCTCCTTGAGCATATTCTTGGCAGGATAATGTTTTTGTCTTATTGCTCATCTTCTTTTGGCGAGGAAATACCATATTAAATTCTTTACACTATTACAGCCTTTCTTGAGACATCTCCCCACTATCAACAGATTCCTGCCATCTTTCAGTCTAAGCAGACTTCCTTGCAAGCCTTAGGAAGAAAAGGCAAAGCAGGATAATGAAGAGAAACAGAAATAAAACATTTTCAACAGAAGCAGAAGAAAACTTGACAAGATGAAGTGAACTCCTTTTATGTGTGGGGTAAAATGCTCCTACAAAACAAGCAAATCCACTTCTCCTTAAATAAGCCCTGGTAAATGCATAATATGAGATACATTTTAGAAACACAGACCACCTGAAAGATAAGTATTTAAGTCACCAGGACCTATTGATTTCTTGCTAGAGTCTCAGTTCTGCAGGTGTAATGCAACTTAAACTACATTTCCTCAACATGCCAATGCTAAAAAGTAGATTCTTTCATGACGATCTGGACTTAATCAAACCCTGCAACACCTGGCATGGCTGAAATAATTAATGCTGATTGCTTGGTTGTTTTTTGCCACAATGATGCAACATGAGTGTTTTCTAAGCATAGCTTAGTGTGCTATTTCCAAAAGACACTTTGTTTTAATGAAAATGCAGAACAAGTTAAAATAAAGTAGAAAAATAATTTCCTATGCCATTTGAAAGTTATTCTGATCCTTGCTATTTACCTCAACAGTTAAGGCAGCTGTTCTAATAGTCTGGGAGAGGACACTTTTGGGTGTGTTTTACTCTGTGTGAGGTTTTAGGTTTTGAGGATTTTGTTTGTTTCCAAACAACTTTTTCCTTAAAAGCTGATCTGGTTGGTTCATTGTGCCAGAAAGATACAGCTCAAGACAGAACTATTAATCACAAGGCACCACAGTTTCATCCTGTTTTAGGGTGAAGACAAGAAACGTCATAACAATCCTCAGAGTCAATTTATCAAAGGACCATTTATTCTAACGTACATTTTAACATCAACTACTGAACATAAATTCATCCTAATTTCAACTTCATTTGAATCATAATGCAAAAGCCAGCTCCTCTACCTTGCTCTGGGCCTTCTAGCTGCAGAATGAAAGCTGCAGGTAAGTAAGTTTGATTAAACAAACACACCACAAAAGAACAAATATAAAAGGTCCTACGTGGGTAATTCCCTGCTGAAGATGGCAAGGGCTGTAATTACCTGGCAGATGATGAAATTTGGCTCAATGGACGATCCCTCCAAGTTTTTGCATATAGCTGTGTAGACAGTTTCCAGGTTACTGGAGTCAGGATTAAAGCAAACTGGAACACCTTCATCTGATATGGTCACATTACAACTTTCTTGGTGTTTTTTTCTGATTCAGTGTGGAGTGAGGGCAGCTCATCAAGGTCAGTTCACACAACTGGATTTCAAAGGAACAGATTCTAACATAACCTGGTGGTAATAAAAAATGAACAGTGATTCATAATTCATTTAAGTAAACATTAGTTTAGAAATAAAAATACATTTAACATCCCAATCTAATTACAAAACTGATTAAATGCATGAAGTTTATTATTAAAATCAAGCGAAGTTCCAAATGTATTTCTTAGATTTTGTATTAACACTCACACCCAGGGAAGCCAAAGATATTGCACATAACAGGTTAAAAGTGGCTGAAAGAGGTAAATATTAATTTAGTATAAATTAAGTACCACAGGGAAACATCAAATTCAATATACCCTCTTATACAAACAAGCCAAAAAGAAAAGACACTAAAACTGCATCACTGAACAGTATAATCTGGAGGCATTGCACAAGTCAGTAGGCAGTAATATCAGACCTATATTAATAATAAATTATAATAATAGGCAGGAGCTGACCTATCAGGATTCACTTTAGAAAAATTCACATCAACCGAAACTAGACTTTCACCCCTAGCTATGTGTCAATAGTCTGTCCCGCAGGCACAGTGAGCTACAACAGTGAGCTGACCTCCTGCCACATATGACAACTAAAACCTCTGACAGAGAAAGCTCAAACAATCCTGAGGAATTTCCAGGCACGCTTGCAAAAGCTTCAGTGATCAGGCCTTTGGCCTGTTGGTGGTGGTGACTTGTGATTTTAATGCCCAAGAGTTATGGCAAATCATTGCATTTGCTACCTGGCACAAGTGCTTATTTACGTCCCACTCCAAATCAGTGAAAATCACAGAGCATTACACTGAGTGCTGTCTGAAAGAGTAGGAATGCAAAGATAAAATGAAGTACACTTTACGGTGCATTAATATCTATAATCCTGTAGTTAATCCCTTATAACACAGTCATGCATTAGACACTGCTTTCCGGTATACTTGCCAATGAAATTAAGTGTTAATAATAGGCTATTTCACTACTGCCTCTGGTTTAAACCATTGCTGGGAGGCAGAAGGAAGCTTCTGGTTGGTTATTTTTTTCATGAATTATAAAATCTTCAAATTATTAGAGTGCAAATTAACAAGTTTCTACTATGTCTAGTTTATGTACATTTAAATCCTGTTTTATTGGCTCTTAATTAAATACATATAAGGAACTTCAGTCTGAAACACTATCACACTCTCCCTTCATTATTTTCTCTTCACAGTCCTTTTCTGATTTCCCATTTCAAATTGTTTCCTCTGTAATAATTTTAAAACTAGATTTTACTATTCCCACTTAAAACAAGTAAAGGATTTTTCTTATTGCAAGCACTTTAAGATATTAATTTATCCTAATAGAGCTCCTGCTTTGTAAGTATTGTTTTTAAGTACATGACCTGAGGTGAAAGGCATACAGAGCTTGTTGTAAACTGTTAAAGGAACTTGCATCAGAAGCAGGAAAGAGCTCAGATGAGAAGGGAATTGATGGACTTTTTCACTTGGAGAAGGAAATGAGTTTTTTAGCTATAAAAAACCATTGTCAAATTAGTTATATACTTTGGATATAGTTTTATTCAAATTCAACAGATACCTTTGGTTGAAGAAAAGCAATGAAGAGAAAGTCTCAGAAATACCATAATCATTATATCTGAAACACCTGCACTCTTTCAGGCTAGATTGACAAATAGATATTGGTCTCTTTCCTATAACAGAAGGCCTTCCTACAAGCTGTCCAAATTTCCCAGACACCCCAAGGACACCTCTAAAACCTCTAAGTAGGGCTAAACTATGTGCCAGGATGCACATCCTAGCATTTCTCCTCTTACTGATTATTTACTTGGCATGACAATACTTAACCTATTCACTGGACCAGAGACAGTGCAAGGTGATGAGCACCCATCATTTTCTTATTCAAGTTGTAAGTCTCCAGATCTGCTAATGAAACTGCTCATGTACATAATAACTTCCTAAACAACTTGAATAACATGTTTTTACCAATCTGATTACTTCCTTGAAGATGAACTGAGAATTGGCTGCAGGAAGGAGCTCCTGCAGCAGCTCTAAAAAGGCAGTAATGTCCAGGCAGGGAAAAGGGACAAGCAGCTGGAAGCAATAACATTTTCAACCGGCAGAGTTGCATCTGCAGGAGAATGTTCAAGGATGTTCACCTGCAGTATAGGCATCACTCCACCCATGAGCAGCTAAACGGAGAGCACTTGGATATACATACTCTATTTGCAGGCCTTGTCCTATTTAATGCATACTTTATTTTCTGAAATAGCAATGGCTAAATAGGGAAAATCTGTACATCACAGCTGTTTTTTTTCTTGCATTTCATGGAATTGTTTTTTTAGGCTGGAGAAGATAAGTCATTTTATGAATTAAAGCATTCTTCTATTCCTAAATTATCTATAAACAGACTGGTTTTTATAAACTCATGGATTATTCATGGATAAAAATCCTGTATTCAAATATATTACTGCCTACAGTCTGTTTGTTTACTACATGCTGCTTTTACAGCTTCAACTATTTATGTCATATACGATTGCAAATCACATGGTATTGTTTCCGATCCAGGGCTGGATGAATGAAAACTTTGTAATGGAGAAGAAAAATGAGAGGCTTGACAATGAAGATGAAGCCTTTTCGGAACCCACCTTTCAGAGAAACTATACACTTGAAGTCTCATATATGCAAATATAACTCAAGAGAACACTAAGGTAGAGTAAGAAATCCTCAGTCATTCAGACAGCAAATTATTTACATTTTTTCAGTATTCAAGTCCAACTATTTTGCTTCTTTCTATCCGGGAACACGTATGTTGAAGCAAGCATAGTAAAACCTAGGTCCCTAGAGCTCAAATTTAAACAACAAAAATAAAATGGAGACTGAAATGGGAAAACTGCAATCTGTTCTTGGTTTGTAGAAGCTTCTGTTCAATTCATTTACTGAACAGTGAATCTTTTGCAGTACAGCATTAATGAGAATAGATACAAAAAGCTTTCAAACTTAAACAAAGAAATGGCTGCTACTTTAGGGTATTTTCAAGCATTTTCCAGAGATTAACGTATAAGGCAGATGCTAGAATAGCAGCACACAATACTTTAATTTAGTTCAGTATCTCTGCAGGCAGTGGCTTCTCTATTACAGCTAGTTCCCAGAACACAAGAGAATGTTATTGCAGGGCACTTTTAGATTAAAATCCCCAAATAAGCTGTTCGACTTTACACACATCAATCTTTTGTAAGTACAATAAGGCAGACTTAATTGGTTTTACTTTCATTTTCTAACAAATGTTATTATAAAAAAAAAAAGCTATTTAAAAAAAATAGACCCATGAAAAGGATTAGAAAGCAATTCCATAAGCGATAAAATAGGGGCAGAGAGTTATTATGGAGGAATATCAGCAAGTGCATAGCTAAGGTTGTTTACTCAATGCCAAATAATCATCTTTGGAAGCTGAAATAATAAACTTACAGTTTCAAATTAAGGACTGCAAGAAATTGAGGAGTTATTGAGGCAGCAGAGGAAATTGAAAATAAACCCCAAAAAAACCCCAAACCAAATATGAAATAAACCTACATAACAAATATCAACATGATGACGAATGCTTTCTCTAAGCCAGTGAGAACGAATAATGCCTGGCGAATAACTTGGCTAGCCTGATCTGCAAAGCTTAGACTGGAACCCAGCTTCACAGTAACTGAAGCACATGGTGCCAGTCTGAACCCCAGTCAAGCCTGAAAAAAACATTTACAAGCTGGTCTTCTGCTGGTTTTCTATGAACACTTTATTCTAGAATTTCTAAAGTTGAATTTCTAGAGTTAGAAAGGATGCATGACAATGTGGATGGAGTGAGCATGGAGAACATTCAGTGTTATTTAAAGCTGTGTAATTATTCAAGGCTATTTTACACAGAGCTTTATCCTGTTGTACTGCTAATGCTCAGTATGGTCTCTATTTGTAATAATACTCACACATCTACATACAAAAATACTTCAGTTCAAAGCCTTAACTACTTCAACTAAGAAAGAAGGTCTGTCCCCTCTCAGTGACCTGTCCTTTCCCCCAAAACACCAAACAGTACATAGGCAGATATATTCATGCAGACCGAGCTAGGCTGCAGTTCTGTTAGAACTGTTTTACCCTTTTTCTGCGTTTCACTGTCAGTTACAACTTCTGAGAACATTTTCAAATGGAAAAATATTAATTAAAAAAAAAAAAACCCCAAAAAAAAAACCAGAAAACATCAAAACAACCAACCAGCAACAGAAATCCAACCAAAGCCACCAAACTGTGTTAAAAATGAAACCATAAAATATCTATTTCAACATCTTTGTACCAGAACGTTTCCAAGCTCTCTGGCAGGACTGCTGGTCAGGTCCAGGAAGTGCACGCAGGACCTGAAAATCTGAGCTTTTACTTTAGTAAAAAGTTACCATAAATCCTGTTCCACCTAATTGTAGACTTAAGGCTCAATGTGGAACAAATTAACATAGCTCTGTAACTTATTGGACAGCTGAACTCCCAGTGACCTGTTGTGTCAAAAGTGAAATTTTCTGCACTCAGAAAACAGAAGTTAAATTCAGAGTGCTTCATTTGCCTGTGTCCACTCTGTATCTGAAACTCGCTCGGTATTTTATTTTGCACCTTACAAGGGCTAACATAACTCTTTCTCACAGACTTGTGTGTCCCTGGCATGGTCCTCTCCCCAGCCCAAGTGGGTTGCCGCCTCCTCCTCCTCCTCCTCACAGAGCATACAAAGATGTCTGAGCACACTCTTCCTCCCCCTTTGGCAGTTTTGCTGGCTCTAATTTCCATAGCAGGAAACTCACCTCACTAATAAATCAAAGAGCTCTGGAAGAGGTGACTCATCACCTTCCTGTAAGTGGTTAAAATAAAAGTGGACTGTGGTCATTTCTGTGGGCTCCACAGCTCTTTTCTTTAAGCTTGACTTCCCCACCCCCATGATGTAGATTTTGTCATCTCCCTGAGCTATTTTTGGCTTTTAGTACAGCTTATTAAATCTTTTCTGCTTGCCTCTGTCATGTCATTTGAT